GCCATTGGTGGGGTCCTGGGTAGACAAGAACAAGAGGCATTTCACCATGGAGCCTTCCTTGGCTATGGCAGGAGGCTGGGCTGATCAGTCCTACTTTGCTCAGGGGAAGCATGGAAGGAGGGAAGGATTGGGAAGGAAGGATACTGACCAGAATACATGAAGGGTTAGCATGGCAGGGATGCTTGCAGAGCCTGGAATGTGCTCATTTTTCAGGAGGGAAGGTGACGGTATTCTAGACCTGGTTTACATCTGGACAATGCAAGATCATTTGAAAGGCAGTCTTTAATTGTTTTTATGTGTTTGTCCAGAACATGAATACTGACTTTTTTTTTTCCTGAGACAGGGTTTCTCTGTGTAGCTTTGGAACCTGTCCTGGAACTCTTTCTGTAGACCAGGCTGGCCTCAAACTCACAATGATTCACCTGCCTCTGCCTCCTGAGTGCTGGGAGTAAAGGCATGTGCCACCAATGCTAGGCATGAATACTGACTTTTAAAATCTATTTGTTACAAGGCTGTGGGAGAGGAGAATTGTCGGAAACCAGCCTTAACTCAGGGGCAAGGAGAGCAGCTACTTTCAGCCCCTCCCCCTTAGTGACAACTGTCCCAGGCTGGCCTTGAGCCTTTCCTTTCTGCTTGCTGTGGTTCTTTGTGTGCATAAGGGATGGGGCCATCCTCTCTGGAGTCCAGACCAACTATGGCCACTCCTACCTTTAGGTTCTGAAACTCCTTCTCTTCCTCTTTGAGGACTTCCAGCTGCTTCAGCACTGAGTCTTGCTGGAATTCTCCCCGGTCCATCTACAACCCAAAAACGGCTACTCAGTGCAGAGAAGGTGGGCTCAACTCCACCTCCTCCCAGGAGAAGATGAAGAAATGAGCTCCATATGTATCCCCTGAGCAGTCTGGACTTCAGAAAGGCAGGCGAAAGAGTTAGGATACAATTCCAGAGCTCAGTAATGTTCTGGGAACCATCATCCCAGGACAGAGACAGGAGGAGAGGGTGGATGGAGCAGTATGAGTATAAAGTCCTGTTTTCTTCCATTGGGCAGGGACGTCTTCTCTAGACATCTCACTTGAATATTTGTTGAAAAAGTTTAGCCAGGCCACACACTCTGGGCCCTTTATATACACAGTAAGATGCAGAAAGATAGAGAGCTCTGCTCACCAGGGAGATAGATGTACCTGAGGTAGTTAGTAATCCCAGAACATCACACTGGGTATAGAGCAGGCTCTTTAGGGCAGTCTGTTAACCAGGGCCGGGATGTTGGAAGGAATCCTCATCCAGATGCTGGCAATGCCAGTGCTATTGTTTGAATCTGAACTATCTGCCTCCCCCAAAGGCCATGTGGTCAAGGCTTGGTACCCATCTTGTGGCACTGTTACAACGTAGTGCTTAGTGGAAGGAAGTGAGGTCACTGCGGGTGACTCTAGAAGAGGCCACTGGAACCCTGGCCCCTCTTGTCTCTTTTTGCTTCCTGGCCAGCATAAGGCAGAGTCCTCTCTGAGGCATGCTTTGCTGTGATGTTGTGCCTTGGCGTGGGTCAGAAGGCATCAGGACCCATAAACATGGGCTGAAACCGTGAGCCAAAAGAAACCATTCCTCTTTTACTTTTTAATCTATCTCTGTGTGTGCATGCATGCACTCGTATATCACAGTGTGTGTGTGGACATCAAAGGACAATTTTCGGAAGTAGGCTCTCTCTTTTCTCTGTGGTTTTGGGGTTCAAACTCAGATTGTCAGGCTTGGGCGTCATTGGCTTTTCCCTCCTGAGTCACCTCACCAATGTTGGTTTTTGTTGTTGTTATGAGACAGGGACTCATTTTGTAGCTAAAGTTGACCTGGAGCTTTTGCCAAGCCTCCTGCTTCCAGCATCCTGGGATTAGAGGTATGAGCCACTATGCATTTCTTCTTCCTCTTCTTCCTTTTTTATCTGTGTTGCATACGTATCCTTGTGTGAATATGGTGTGTGTGTGTGTGTGTGTGTGTGTGCAGGTCAGAGATTGGAGCTTGGTGTCTTTTAAAATCATGTTCCATCTTATTTTTTGAGACAGTTCTCTAACTGAGCCCAGAGCTCACCAATCTAGCTAGCCTGGCTGGTCAGTGAGCCCAATGCATTGGGATTACTGGTGTAAGCCTTTTTCACATGAATTCTGAGAGAATTGAGCACAGGTCCTCATGTTTGTGGATCAAAACACCTTATCAACTGAGCCATTCCCCATAGCCCTGATTTTCTCAGTCTCTGTCATAGCCACAAAAAACTAAGACAACAGGTCACATCTATCCCACACAGCAGGGATCCAAATTCACTGGAAAACTGCCTACCTTAACATATGCCAAACAGCCTGAGGGAAGAGACCTTGCTCTTTTCAAATCTCCACAACAACTGGTTTAAGACCTTGCATGTGATGGTCACTGACTAGAATGCTTCTGGCCAGGGTGAGTGCAGCGTTTGGTATTTGTGAATGAGTGAGCAGCTGGGCTCTCAATCATGGAAAGTAATGATTAGGTTTAAGATCAGGATAAGGCTTCCAAGGTGAGTGTATAAAGTGATCAGGGAACACAAGGATGCCTCCCGAGACACAAGATGCACCAGTCACTCCAGCAGTGGTACTCCAGCTCAGGTTCCCACTCAGCTCTTTGAGTGGGGTATTTTGTTTGTCTTCCTTACATTTTAGTCCTGGAGGCCTGCAGAATGGGCTTTCATCCTGCTGTTCCCTCACTAATTGCATTACTTTTTTTCCCTTCATTTTTTCCAATAAATGTTTTGATTCCATCTAGATTGTTGTTGTTCTCTCCCGCCCCCCAGATATAATATCTAAGCCGACTTCCCCTTGATGATAGAGTATTTCCAGATAATGGGGTATAAGATCTCCCACTGTGGAGGAGGGGGACCAGTGAATATCTTCCCAAGGGAGAGCCTAGTTACAGGGCCTCAGCAAGTCCCTTCTGCCAAATTACCTCTTTGCTCTTCCCCAAATATCCAGGGATACCTGCCCTCTTCCTAAGGGATTGACTTTGAAACAAAGAAATGCCTCCATGGGAGAGATCTAAAGGGTCCATTGGGCCTGAGGGATAGACCTGATGAAGCTTAAATAGCATCATTTCTTCTCAGGTCTGGGATGTGGGTTCCCTTCTGTGTGAAGGAACACTCTGCTATGTTAGATACTGTGTTAAGGAGGCCCCAGGGGAAATACATGACCTTTGCCCTTGAAAATCTCCAGAGTATTTGGAGAGGTTTCCTTGTCTTCCAGCAGTGGGCTGTCAAAGAGGCTCAAGGGGAGTGCAGCAAAGAGCGCACAGCTTGCCATTGTGTGAGGAGTGGGCAGGCCAGAAAAATCTTGCAATGGATGGCATTTGAACCACTTCTTATTGCAGGATGTGAAATTTAGCAGCCATATTAACAGGGAGAGGTGACATGGGTCTTTGATGTATAAAGAACTCCAGATCAGGAATCACCTGTTCTTATGTCTGAAAAGCCAGATATGTTGGGGCTGGAAGATGAAATTGGAAATATTGGCAGGTGTCTTGCCATGCAAAGGGCGTGATGAGGTGTTGGGCAGCTGGACTTCATCCAATATACATGGAAGCCACTGAGGGACTTTAGTAGATTGTCACAGGTGCAGATTTGCATTTAATATTTTATTTAGTTTGAGACAGACTCTCATTAATTAGGTCAGGCTGGCCTCAGAGTCACAGAGCTATCACCATTTGCTTTTGCCTTCTGAGTGCTGGGGTTATAGGTGTGTGCTGCCAGATTTGTATTTCAGAAAGACATTTTTGCAGGGCTACATAGGCTGGGTTGTGACTAGTGGCCAAAGCCAAGTTCCATTAGGGGGTTGCTGCAGTGGCCCAGGGAGCAGTGGCAAGGCCCAAAAGAAGGACGTCACCATGGAGGAGAGGCGGGACACATATCTGAGACACATTTTTGAAGCAGAATTGACGGACTCTGAAGATCAATTGACTAGAGAAAGTGTAGCGGAGAGAAATATCAGTTCCATTCATCAAACATTTGTGACCCTCTGCCAGGGATGAATAACACAGTAGTTGCTCCCCATCTAGTGGGTGAATTTAGAGCAACACAATAGTTAGCAATTCTTGAGTTCTTGCAGGTGGGCCCCTGCATTCCTGGATTCTGCACAGAGGATTCCTCCAACCATAGATTAAAAAATATTTAGGGAAAATTTGCCTGTACCAAACATGCATATTTTACTCATTAATCCTTAAACGATACGTACAGTAATTGTTTACATTGCATTTATATTCCATTACATATTATAAAGTAGAGATGATTTATGTATATGAGAGAATACAGGTAGATCCTGTGTAAATGTTATATACCATTTTATACAAGAGACTTGTACATCCTCAAATTTGGGTATCTGTGAATCATGGGACCAAATCCCACACAGATGTCAAGGAAAAACTCTATTACAGCCCATATGTACTCAGGTTGTTACTCCTGCAATCCTGCTGATGACCCTGTATATTACTGCGTTCACATCCGTTTCATAGACTGAGGCTCAGAGAAGACCATGTCCTTTATTCCTTGCTCTTTTGTCACTGTTCCCAGATATTCCCACCATGTATAGTGTGCTCTACGAGCTTCTGGCATAGCTGACTAGGCTTCTGCCCAGAAAGTGAGCAGGATTCTGGTCCTTGAAGGGAGGACCAGGAAGAGGAGGTGCTGGCTTGGTGTTGCTGGAGAGTCTTGCATTTGCTTCTGGTGGACATCCAGTTTCCAAGAAGTAACCACTGCTTCTGGAAGACTGTGTGTGTGTGTGTGTGTGTGTGTGTGTGTGTGTAAGACTGCATGTAGCACACATGTAAATTTAAACACAGATTCTTTCCCCGGTCAGGATCCAGGTCAGGAACTGTATCATACATGTCTTTGAATCTCCCATATTACTTCACAGATGCACAAATAAATACTCATTGGCTGAGTGTATGCCTGGGGCAGGAGAGGTTTGCCTGGATGCTCTGCCTCTCGGCAGTGTGGAGAGCATCAAAGAGTCTCTGTTCTCAGGATGGAGTGGGGTACGGACATCATTCTTACCATCAGCTGCTTGATGGTGGTGTGATCTTCAGCCTCCCGACCAGAAGCCGGCTCCTTGTGCACAATCTCCACTCGGATATCATTTTTGGCTGATACAACACCTTTGAGATCTGGACATAAGATAGGAAAGTGCAGACAAAGGAATCAGTTCTCAACCTCAGGCAAGAGATGTCAACTTCCCCACAGTCCCCTGATGCCACCCCTTTCCCCCACCCCACCTCAGGATTTACTCTCCTTCCCAGGCTCTGAATTTGAAGTTTTGAGGGTTTCCCACCCACAGAACCTCTGAAGCGATCTACTTTGGTCTGGATGGGCCCCAAAGGCTGGCGGTGCAGGTTGTCCAGCTCCTTGGTGCAAGGCCATCAGTGGTTGGAGAGGTTGTCCTCATCCATCCCTTCACCTCACCTAGCTAGGCCCTGTCATCCTGAGTTCCCACTCCCTCCGAGAAGTCTTCTCTGTCCTTCTCTACCTGGATTTGAGCTCTCCATTTCTAGAACCACAAAAGTTAACAATAAAAACGACCATAAGATCTCTTATCCAATTCAGAGCACACAGAGGTCTGGCTTCCCTGAACTACAGGAGCCGCCTGTTAGACACATTTGACTGAAATATGCCCTCCTATCATTTCCATGGAGAGGCAGCATGGGAGGTTGCAAGGCTAACTTGGTGGGTAAGGCTGTTGGTAAGATTGCTTAGCTGGGAGTGGAGAATATGTGAGGGGAAGCACTAGCTTCCTTCCAACAAGTGAAGGGTGCCACGTGGCCACAATTTGTTCTGGTGACTCAGTGAATTCTGATCCTAGAAGCTTAGAGTGGGTTGGAGTCATAAAAGTCACACCACCCAACTCCTCTAATATCACAAATGAGGAAACTGAGGTCTTAAACACATGTGACTTGCCCAGGATCACAGCGTAGAAGATTGTACCTCTCTTATCTTCAACTCAATTCTGCCATCCTACCTTTCCCTTACACCTGCCAATCACATGTAACTCCAGAGCTGAGTCCAGGAACGGAAGCCCTTTGTACACACAATTCTTTGTGTTTTTTTCTTTTCTTTTCTTTTCTTTTCTTTTCTTTTCTTTTCTTTTCTTTTCTTTTCTTTTCTTTTCCCCGAGACAGGATTTCTCTGTGGCTTTGGTGGCTGTCCTATAACTAGCTCTTGTAGACCAGGCTGGTCTCAAACTCACAGAGATCCACCTACCTCTGCCTCCTGAGTGCTGGGATTAGAGGTGTGCGTACCCACCACTGCCTGGCCACACAATTCTTTAAGAATATGCTGGCACTAGAACTCTATTGCTAATGATGAAAGATCTTCAAAAGTGTGTCCAGAGCAACACCTCACATGCTTTTGTGCCCTGTGTGGGTGACTTGCTTTTCAGGTTAAGCTAGCAGTCAGCAGAGCAAGGAGGGTCAAACCACCCCATTCCCTCTGAGATTTTCTATACACTCCAAATATGAGTTCTATGTGCCCAACCCAAAGCACTGGTGGCCTGTCCTGCTAGATGGAGGCCAGCTGAGTTTGGTTCAGCCTCAGTGGAGTTCCCACTTGCTGCCAGACACCCTCCAGGTGTATAATGGTGCATCATACCCATCCCTGCCCCAGGAGCTCACAACACTGTTATGGCCCCTGTTTGTTGTACTCCTGCTTACTTGCTCTCCTGGGCAGTCTAAGCCTGTCCTTTTTCTCTGTCCCCCTCCCTGAGATCCCGGGTCTCCCTCCCGTACTTCTCTGGGAACGGGCACAGCAGAAGGCCACAATGGTTGCCATTAGGACAAGGAAGGCCACACCAGCTCCTACGGCCACCCCGATGATGACGGCCATTGGCACAGACTCTGTGGGAAAGAAACAGACAAGGCTGATAAGGGACAAGAAAATCTACTGTCCCTCTAGGACCCTACCCAGTCCCCCAGGTGCAGCCCCTGTCAAGCTGGGGCCAGACCACTGCCATTCAGGCTCTACCTGGGAATGCCTTGGTTGTACCTGGGCAGGCACAGATAGTCCAATAGGGGTGGGTCATCTCTGGATAGGAATACTGAGACTGGATAGAGGACGTAGGGTAGGTGGAGAGTAGAGAGGAGCCAGGGGAAGGGGTAGATGCTAGACCAGACAGTGGAGGATCTGGGAGAGGAAAACTGGAGATGCAGGGCGAAGCTAGCCTAACTTAGTTCCCTTCAACATCAAGGAAGGGATCTATTATGTATGCAGTGGCTGGTGAGTCATAAGTCCATGGCTTTTCTTTGAAAAAAAAAATGGTGATGGTCCCTGCCCTTGTTTGTTCAGTTCCTTCCTTCCCTTTCCATGGTACAGCAAGGGTACATACAGACAACCAACTCTCAGGGTTTTCAGTTCTGAAGCAACTTCCCCTTCCGGACTGCTGGGAATCAGGACCCACAACCCACATGTACAAGTGTTGGGACTAGGGAGTTCCATCACAGTTTCTTTGCTAGCACAGTGCTCTGGAGCAAGACCCTTTCTTTTTCCTTGACCTCCACACACAGCCCTTTCTCTTCTAAGGCTGACCTTCCAACATCCACCACCTGCTCCAGCCCCAAAGGGCCCAGAGCTCCTACTTGGCTCTTTCCCCAGCTTGTCTCTGGCTCTTGCCAAATGGGCAAGAATGGTAGGTGATGAGTGGGGGAGGGAAACAGTTTTCCCAGAAAGCTCTGCCCCCTCTGTGGAGTCGTATGAGCCCTGAGCACATGATTTTAGATCCTGAGCACTCTACCAGGAACAGCTCTAGGAAATTCTGAGGCAGAGTGAAATTGGATGAACCCAACCCTCTCATTCGGTAAAGACACTGAAGTCCAGAGAACTCAAATGACTTGTTCAAGGACATATTGCTGCTGTGTGTGAACAAGGTCAACTCAGACAGGTCTCCTCATATTTCTCCCAATCCCGTCCTGCTCTGTTCTCTGTGTCACATGATATTCTCCAAATGTCATGTGCTCCTTGCAGCCCTGACTGCTCGCTCCTTGTGCCCACTTGGTTCCACAACAACTTCCAAGCAACTTATTCCATGTCTCTTATCTGTAAAATGCAGTAGCAACAGTGTGACTTCAGAGGTTGTTATGGTGAAAGAACATGAAGGAAGGTCTTGGACTAGAGCCAGGGGCCCAGCTCTCATCAAGGATTTGTTCCATTTGCTTTGTGTGAGGATCCTAACTGAGAGGAAATCCCTCTGAATGCCTGAGCTGTTTCCCCACCCACATTCATCGGTGTGGCTGCTTGGATGACCCGCAGAGGGCGAGGTGTTTGTTCTGGAGCTGTGGCCAGATCATCATTGTTCTCTTTTTTCCTGCAGTTTTGGGAATGAAACTCAGGGTTTCATGCATACTAAGTGAGTGCTATGCTACCTTGACCCCCCCCTCTTTACTAAAGAGAGATAGACCCTGGCATTCTGCTCCCTGAGTTGTTGCTTTGATGTGGGTGGGCACCCTCTAGACATACCTGGTTTCTCACCACCCCAGGGTTCACACTGGACTCTTTTGTTACCTACCTACCAGTGACCAAGACTACTGCAGAGGTGACAGAAGGTGACCAAGAGGAGGTAAGAATGGCACATCTCAAGGGTTTAAAGGGGAGGTGTTGGGCTTGGGCTTAGAAATCAGGGCTGCGGAAAAAAAGATGTGATCTCAGCCAAGCTGCCTTTGACAAACAGATGTTTCCTGGTTAAATCTTGTTGGTTCTGTGGTTTGAATTTCTTTGTTTTGTGTTGGATCTAGCACTCTTAGGATTCCTAGTAAGTTTCCTAGGTTAAACTTAGGAGTATCTCAGCTCATCTCGGGGCCAATGCATGCTCCCTTAAAATCCCCAGGTTTCAACTTTTCATCCATAACTCAGAGAGCTGAGGCAACAGAATGATGGTCAAACCTGACTTGTGCCCTCTAAGTCCACATTTTCTTGAGCTGTTAACAGCAGGGGGTGGGTGCATCTTGGGTAGGCAGTGGCAGAGGAGAAGTGATCTGTCAAGGCAGTTAGCCCCCTGGTGGCATCCCTTACCAAGTCCCAGTATGTCTCCTCCTTTGCTACCCTCTCAGTTTGACTTTCGCCATCTTAGCTACTTCTTTCTGGACAGAACATTCCTTTGGGAGGGACTGGGGAGGGGTTCTCTTGCTTGGTCCTTTCCATCTAAGGAAGGGGATGGGAATGAGGGGTCTTAGCCACTGAAGGAGGAAGGAGTATGAAACAGGGACAGGAGAGGGCCAGCACCTCCACAGGACCTGGACTTCTAGAGAGTCCAGAGACTCTCTAGAAAGTGGCAGATAATTACATGCTGCCTCTAGATGGGTCACAGGGGCCTCTGTGGGATGCTTGTGATCTAGATTGGTACTCTGAGAAGAGCGTGTGTGTCCAGGGAGTGGGGGATGCAGGCTCCATATGTAGCTAATTAAAGGAGTGGCATAGGCCAGACAACCAGTGGGGACAGAGAACTGAGATAGAGGAACCTTATGCCTTTGGCCAGCCCTGAGGAGTAGGATTCACCAAGTCCTGCTGTTCTCCTCTAGTGTCCTGCCTGGGGATGCAGAGGGGATGGTTGTCTAGATGGAGCAAATCAACCCATGAGCTTGATGACCACTTTGCTGCGGGAGCCCTGAAGGGGCAGTGTCCAGCAGCCTTGGCTTGATGATGAGATGAAGCATCCATAAGGGATACAGGGAGCAGGGAAGGTGGTGAGCCAGCAAGCATGGATGAAATAGGCCACAGGCCCCTGGGGAGCGATGTTGAGCTGGTGATGGTGCCGAGGAGCAGAGTCAGGGAGGGCCTGGAAGTAGAGGGAGGCCAGGGAAGGGATGGGAACCAGGACTTTTGAGGACAAGGGGTGGGAGAGGAGCAAGAGCTGTGTCCTGAGGAGGAAGGAGCCCTGGGCTTCTCTGGTATCAGGCAGGTGTTTGGGGTCCCTGGACGCCAGCTTCTGGGAGCCCCTCTCCCACTGCTCTGACTTCACTAAGCCCTTGGCCTGGGGAGGACAGAGAACTTAGCAGCCTCCCTGCCCCATTTTGAGCCCCTCCCCTACTAGCCAAGAGTCCCTCCCTCCATCCCGGGCAGTTCTCATCTGCTCCTTCCGTACCTGCTTCCAGCCCGGCTCCCGACTTCATTTCCGAACCTGTTTGGAAATAAAGCAAGCGTCCACAGCCAGGGCCTCGCTGGCCAGGGTGGGGTGGGACAGGGAATTGGTCACCTGGAGGGGTGAAGGGGAGATTCCCTCCTCTGTCATGTCTCTGGGGCCGTCGCATAGATCCAGGTTCCCCCAACTGAACTTGAGTTCATCCAGCCTGACTTGGCCCTCCGGAACAGGGGTAGGGACAGAGAAAAGCCAAACCTGGAGGGGAGATTCTAGGGGTGGGTGAGACTACTAAAGGAGGGCACAGGGGTAAGGGCACCAAGGGGAAGACAAAGAGGGTAGGCAACAGGGGACCAGGGAGGTTTGGATGATGTGTGGATGGTATTATGCAAATTATATGCAAAGCGCTATGCAAAGCAGCACCTATTAGGAAGAGGTGTTTGAAGACACTGAGACATTTGATATGTAGGTGTGAGCATGGCCACCTCATGACTGACTTTACTGGCTGGGCTTCTAACCTCTGATTTAGAGGCCCAGGCCTGCTAAACACCACCCCTGAACCCCAGGGCTGGTCACTGATTGGCAGAGGGAAGATCTGCAGCCCATTTTGGGACCTAATGTGCTGCTGCTATGTGTTGAGTGAACTTCTCTGACCTGGCTCTCTCATCTTCCTGGGACTTTCCCTTTGCTAGTCTGAGCCAGAGAACTTTAACTAAATGGAGACTGGAGTTCTAGTGTTTGTTCTGAGACGAGGGCTTGCTGTCTGTTCTTGAATGTGTGGGCTCAAGTGATCCTGTGACCTCAATGTACCATGTAACTGAGAGTTCAGGCACACACCACCATGAGCAGCAGAAGACCAAATTCCTAGCTAAGATCAGGAACTAAGCAATGGGCATATGGGGTCATAGTGATGGGTCATGGTGAGGTAAGCTTACTTCCTCTTTCCTCCTCTCTCAAAATCCAGCTGCTCTGTGCTCCAGAACTAGCCAGTGTCTCTTCTAGGGTACAGTGGTCCAGGTGTCTCCTGGGGGTTGCAAGAGCTCTGAGCCCAGCCCCACCCCCTCACATTAGCAGTGCTGCCCTTCAGCTTTAGCTTTGTCCCATGCTTGGGCAGAATGTGTGGAAGCCAGGGCCTTTGGAAGCCATTGAGTGTTTATCACCACCATGATCCCAGCTTAACTCTGTGGTCTCCCTTTCCTGAACAGCTCCAGAGGCCACCACTCAGAGTAGTTTTTGTTCCCTGGCTGGGGCCAATGCCCCTTGCTGCAGAAGGTAGCTATGTGAGGCTGTGTGGCATTTAGGAAGAGCACTATGCCTCACCCTTGGATCTGGATCTGGCCTACTTTCCCTGGTCCCCTGGGCACTCTGGAAGTTCTCACCTTGTTCCTTGAGTCGGATGATCTCTGTGTCAGAGCCGAAGCTGTTCCAGGCTGTACAGTTGTAGATGGTCTGGAAGTCAGCACGCACAATGTTGCTAATGGTCAGCGTGGAGATAACGCCCTCCTCGGTGCTCACTGTCTCCACTGTGTAGCGCCCTGATGTCCCTGATTCCAGCACATTCTCCTTCCAGGACCAGGCCTGCCGGATTGTGCAGGGTTAGGGGTGTCCACATGAGAACCATGGTGTCACCACTCCAAGATGCTGACTTAACTATATGCTCACGTTAACAGTCACTGCCACACACCACCAACCTAAACACACATCACAAATATAAACAACCCACACAAACACATTATTCTACAGGTACATAGACACCATATAAAACACATGACCAGTATGTGTTCACACTGATAAGTGTGCATGCACATACCTCACATGACAAACACACACACATATGCACATTATAAAACACATGTAAATACTCAACACACACACATCAACAAGTACAAACATGGTACGTATACATACTATACCATATACTATGAAGATAAACATGCACGCACATAAGCACATACACCACAAATACTTCTGTACACATGCACACTACACCAGCCACATACTCAGAGGGACTCATACACCATATCACATCATAATGGACATGTGTATATGTACTACACACAGTCCACAGAAATATGCATCACACCATATAAACATATGCCACACCACATATGCTCACCATACCATATCACATACACATATACAAACATTCATATGTTTACATACACACATCACAAACCACATATACCTCAAATACGTCTACATATGCACACACCATGACACGAGATAGCATATCAGACACTGTGCAATCATACCATATCACACATACCAAGGATTCATGTTAATACAAATGCACATACACTCCAACATATACACACACCATTGCACACGCGCATCACAATGCCACATGTATACATGCATCACAGCATACAACACATCTCTCTGTCACACACAGAGCGCAGATATGCACCTTCTACTGACCGTGCGCATGTATACCCACACAGGCTGGGGGCACCTCAGAGGATATTTCTTTCCCTGAAGAGTACCCTGTGTGGCTCTGCATTGGGAACATTTTCTAGGCCAAGAGGGACCTTCTGTTGCAGCAATGTCGCCCCCCACATGGCCACCTGTCTGGGCTTCCTCGACAATACTCCCTAGTGCTGAACCTTGGGGAGATGGTTCACAGTGACTACAAATTCTTCAAGGCTGGTTATTACCAGACTGCTCTCCATCTCTCATTGTAACAAGATGACTTTGAGCTGCTTTTCCATCCCTTTTCACCTCCCACTGTTGAGTTTATGGGTGTGGACAATCATATCATTTTACAGGCTTATGTCATCATCTCCACCTCTGTTTATTTACAGGAATGCCTTTGTAGGTACTTTATACATAACCCTATATATAACTTTATACATAACCTTACTCCATGTTCAATGCCAGAAGACAAATGAGAGAGAGCTTGGCTTCCCTTGATCTGGACCAGATCCTTCCTGGTGTGGGGCTCTTTGTGAGATCTTTGGTTCTACTAAGGCTAGCACCCCTCACCCTTTGGCAATACCAAAGGCCTCCAGACACTTCCAGATGCTGCTAGGGGACCTGTGAGAACCACTAGACTAGAAATAAATAACTATAAAGAAAAAGATGGCATAACAATGCTCAAGGGTAATTGAAGGAGATCTTTTACAATGGCCATGTGTTAGATTTATAATTAAAAAACTAAAGAGTGAGTGGGGAGACATAGGTAATAGTTACTATGTGCAATTATTTGCAATTTTATGTGACTCTTTCAGACAGCAAATGAACCAGATGCCTGAGACAGCATTTAATAGCAATAATCCTTTAACAATGTCTTAGTTTACCAGGCAGTATCTCTGGCACACATAGGCTCTTATTTGAGCAGTGCCCAGCTGAGCCACAGCCTTCCAGCACTGTCACAGTGTGGAGTTGGCCTCTGGGCAATCTACTAGCAAGACCATCTGTGGTGTTTTGAATGAGAATAGCCCCAGTAGGCTCATATGTTTGAATACTTGATCCACACTGGTGGAACTGTTTGGGAAGGATTAGAAAGTGAGGCTTTGTTGGAGGAGGTGAGTCACTGGGGGTGGGCTTTGAGGTTTCAAAAAGACTAATGTCATTCCCAGTGTGCTCTCTGGCTCTCTGCTGTTCCTGCCACTATGCCCTTGATCTGCCATCATGGACTCTAACCCTCTTAACTGTAAATCCAATTGTATGCTTTCTTTTGTTACAGTGATATAAAGTAACTAAGACATCATCACTGAGCTTACTAAAACAACACTTTCCCTCAGAAGTGCTACAAATGCTCACTTTTTCCTTGTTTTCATACTGGAGCAGCAACCAGCTTTAGATTGAATGGGGGTGCAAAATCCTCTGTTTAAAAAGACAAGGCACTTGCCACATGGGCATGATGACCTGAGTTAAATCTCTAAAACCTGAGTAAGTGTGGAAGGAGAGAACCGATTCCACAAAGTTGGCCTCTGATCTCCACTTGCGCACTTTGGCATTTATTCCACCTCTGTGTTCTACCCACACAATGATAGGAAATCGGACAATTTAAGCCTTTCTTAAATGCAGACACCATCATGCAAATGATGGTGAACTTGGGAAGGTGTCTGGTCTGCCTTAGAGGCTGAGAGGTTGGAGGAGGAAAGGATAATATAGTGGCCATTTTGGAAGGAACATTTTGATCTGGAAGGCACAGGGTATCCCCTGGGCATTAGGAGCGGAAGAGTCTGGAGAGGATGATTCTGGGAGATGCAGAGATGGATGACTGTAAACTGCACCGAGTTTACAATTTTATCACTGGCTTTGAGGCCAAGAAAGAAAAGAAATGGGCCGCCCCCTCTCTGCTGTTTTCACTTGCTCTCTGCACTCAGGATGCCAATTCAATTTGAATCATTAATGCTGGCACTTGGAGGCAGGAGTACCCCCAAGCTTGCCTGTTCCTAGACAGGAGGATACCTTCTCTTATTTTGTCTTCAGGGTGTATCCTCAAGACACAGATAGGTATCATTTCCCTTTACAGAGGGAAGGGAAGCTCCAGAGCCTGCCAATTTGCAGGCTGCCCAGACTTTGGCTGAGGTGACCCCTGGATACCGGGAGTAGGGGCGCTGCTGGTGCCCTCACCACCATCCCTCCCTAGAACACTCACGATTCGGTCAGGTGGTGGTGTGCTCCGGATGAAACACTTGATCTGGCCCTTCTCACCGTGCAGGGCATGCTGGGTCTGTGTGCTGGAGATGATAGGGGGTCCTGTTGGAAAGATGTCATCACGTTAGGGAAGCAGGAAGGGCAAAGCCCCATCTGGCACCCTCTTTGGTGGGTTCAGAAGTATATCGACCAATCCAAGCACTCAGCAAACATTTACAGAAGGCCTGCGCATGCAAGGCAGAGTGTGATGTAGGGCATCTGAAGATAAATTAGGCATTCAGTCATAAACCTCTCCAGGGACCATGAGTGAATGCTTCCAAGTCAGAATCCCCAGAAGATGTTAAGTAACCAATAAAAGGTGGCGAGTGTTCATAGCACAGGAGTGGTGAAGATAAAGCATTAACTGGCTTCAGAGGAGAGAGCATAATTCTATCTGCAGATGGGGAATGCTTTGCAAAGGAGGTGGTGATCTTGGGAAGGGAATCAATGCAAGGAAGAGTGGAAAGAATGCTGTCCAGCCTTGCTCCATTGTTGGGACTCAAGCCATTTTTCAGTTATCCAGCAGAGGGCACACTTGCCTAACAAACAGGGTGTCTGCTGGGTCAGGAAGGGAAGTGGTACTGTTCTTTCACCAAGGGCGGGAATTACCCTGCAAATGGGGAAGTGAACTAGAGGAGCTCATAGCCTTAATCCTATATAGGTCTCAGAAGACCCTGTAGTTGATCGTCTTGTCTACACACACACACCCAGCCAGGCCAGATGAAACTACACTGCAAATCCCAGTATTATCCCATTCAGTGTGCGCTCGGGGAGGGGGAGGGAGGAAGGGAGAGATGTCTCTTTAATTCCATAGCACGTACATTTCTCTTAATGTTTACCATGCTCAGAAAACACACACACACACACACACACACACACACACACACACACACACAGAGAGAGAGAGAGAGAGAGAGAGAGAGAGAGAGAGAGAGAGACATCTGTCAGCTTTTGAGGGCCAGTCTCATCACATTGGGCAGCCAAGAAATGCTACCCAGAGTGAAGCCTATGTCATGACACTTCCAGTTAAGTGTCCCCTATCTACAGGTAACTCCCCAGGCTGGGCTGGGCAGTTGAGAGATGAGGGTGGGGATGAAAACCTTCCCACATGTTCCCTGTCCCTGGGGTGATGGTTAGATTTCGACTGCCAAACAGAGGAAAGATGGCTAAGAGCAAGAGATCTGGAGAACAGGCAAAATTATGCTGAGAACAAAACAAAAATTGCTGCAAACATAATTGCTGTTTATTAACCACCTTAATTAAAACAGATTTGCATTTCTATGAGTAGTTCTCAGCCAAGGGGGGAAAAGGTATTGGGAGAGATGGCTTCTGAGTTTAGAATGGAAATAGCTCTGTCTGGTGCACAGGATATGGGCGACTTCCAGGTAAGAGCTTTGCCCTCAGAAGACTTTAAAGATGGGCTGAATCTCACTTTCCTCCTTAGAGTTCTTTGGCCCCAAGACACAGCGGCCCTACATTCCGAGGACCCTGGGTAATGCTCTGCTCCGCTTTGGATCTGGGCTGAGAAGCGATGATACCATAAAATCTTTTCCTTTCATTTCCCAAGAACTAGGAATCCCCCAAGGGGTTTACAGGGCTTTAAAATCTGTCAACAAATACATATGCATTTATGGGCTTCTTAAAAGAAAACAAAAAACTATGAAAAATGAAACCCGGCCCAGAGAGCAAACCCGCTGTTGGCAGCCATCTTCCCCTTCCTCTGGGTACTCACTTTGAGCCAACTCAGGTTATAGCGGAGCCAATTCATTTCCCAAAGGCCACTGGACTGGCTGTCACCCACAGGAGGGGCTGGCAGAGCTGGAGATGGATGCATTCTAGACACCCACATTCCTGTCTACCAGCCTCACCACCATTCCACCTGTTCTCCAATTGTAGGCAGGACAGACAGTCCCATCCCTGGTGGAGGCTAGCAGGTTCCTCCCTTTGGGTCATTTCATCTAGACCCTAGTCTCAGTGTGACTAGTAGAAAATAAACACAGGGCAGTTTCCTTCCTCCTCTTGATTCCTTTAGTTGTTCTCTGCCCAGCAACCTAGGAAAGGTGCGCAGGCTGAGAAAAAAAAAAATGGACAGGATAAATGTTGGCTGGATGCCAGGGCCTAGACTGGAATGTGGGTCCCTCTGAGGTGTGTGCACTTCTCAGGAGCAAAGAAAGAGCTCTTTTCCCACCAAAGTCTTTTTAAGTTCCCATTAGGAAATGCTTGAATGTCTAAGAGTAACAGTAAAAAACACCAGCCCCTCTGTAATCCCCCCCTCCCCGTACCAACACAAGGATGCTCAGTAAATAGCTCCAGGTTTGGGGACTCTGGTGGGCATGTGTGTGTCTGGGGGTCTCTAGCCTTCGGGTCACAGCTGACAACAGGCATGGCAGCTTGACTCCTCAGCGCCCTCCCCAGAGCGGGCAGTGGGGAGGGCTGATGATTTCACTGTGGCCTGGCGCACTGAGTGGAGTGTCAGACAGACACTGGCGCGGCAGGAAAAGGCTGCAGCCTGTGTTGCCATGGATATTCTGAGGCGCGATCAGATGCTGTTATTTTTAGCCCTGCAGTGCCAATTTATTGGTGGCATCCTGGGGACACACAGGAAAGGCAGGAGTGCTTGGGAGTCTGGGTTCTGCCTGGGAGAGCTGATGTGTGAATGCTCTGGGGCTGGGTAGATGAGTAGATCGACCATTCCTCTGCCGCAGTTGCCTCTCTCAGGAGAGAAGAGGAACTACTGGACAGGAACCGAGTAATGGGGACAGCAGAGGGATGCTGGGGAGGCATCAAGCTGGGCTTGGTTTTCTAGCAAAGGAGGAGAATAGATGATTTTCCCATGGGTGGCTTCCTAGGTTGAGATAAAGTCACTTTGGCTCATTTCCAGAAATTGGCTCAAATCCTGCTTTCAGGTCAGGACCCTAAAGCCTCACACTAGGGCCTGTGACCTCTGACTTCTTTTTCTTGCCCAGGATAAAATCCATCACTTAATCACTCTACAACTGATACTGTGCTTGCAAGGGACCCTTACCATTGACAGTCAAGGTCACCTCTCTCTCCCCAGCTCCTACCCGGGGCACCACAGCCCGGCACACGTACTTCCCAGCATCCTCCTGGCGGACAGATTTGAGGGTCAGGGTCTTCTCATTGCTCAGGACCTAGGAAGGATGGGGGGAGGATCAGACACAAAGAACAAGGGAAGGCTTCCTCCTCCTGGGGTTGATGGCTGACACAGATGCCAAAGCATCTCTGTAAACACCAAAGTGACATGTGAAGTAGGAGGCAGATAGTACCATTTAGGCTTTGGAGAGGAGACCACCCCCCCACACACACATGGAGACCTCCGTTCTAGATACAGGCTTGTGGATGTAGTGTATGGTGGTGGCAGGAGTGTGATAACCCCTAACTAAGTACCCACAGCTTCTTCATGTGGAGAGATGGATACTGTCCCTCCTGTGACCTCCCACCTGCCCATGGGTAGCAGAGGATCCTTGAATCCAGGTTTGCAGAGTCATCATTACTATCCCCTTGGGAGACAGCTGGAGGTGATGGTATGAATGCAGTCTTGGACACTAGCTATTCCTGCTCTAGCACTGTATTTGTGTGGTATAGGTCAGTTACTGACTATCTCAGAGGCCCATCCATCTAATGGGGGAAACGACACCACCTGGACCAGTGCTGCAGCTGTGAGAACATAATAGGCTACCCAAAGGTTGGTTTCTTCTGCCTGTCTCCAAACCATCATGCCAAGACTAAGGGTAAGTTTATCCAGGGCAAGTTTAGAAGTCTTTCTGGTACCAGGGCAAACTGCCCTGGGCATAGTGTGTTCAGAGTGATATGGGTACAGGTTGGTCTCTCAGTTCCTGCTCCTCTTTCTGGTACCCCTTTGACTTATTACAGAGAGTATCTCCCCCCACAGCCTCCTGCTTGCTGCATTATCTATCCTTCAGTCTGCCATGGGATCCTGGAGCCCGTGGACTCACCACACCAGAGCCCCTTTTCATCCACACGATGGTCAGCGATGGGTTACCGATCCATGAACAGCTGAAGACCGCATCTGAGCCCAGATCTACCAGAAGAGACTGAGGCTCTGAGGTCATTCGGGGACCAACTGTGATGGGGAGGAAAGAGGAGATGGGCTCAGGGAGGCTTGGAAGTACTGGGGAGTCTTCTTGCTCTCCTCTCCTTTTTACCCACCCCAACTGAAAGAAGGGAGGCACTGGGTTAGCCACCTCAATCCACCTCAGTCCACTTCTTTAGATTTCGATTCTCTGATGAGGCTGGGCCTGAGGCATGAGAGCAGGACTCTGGAGATGAGGATGAGACCCGTCTTTTCCAGGTTCTGTTTTTCTCAGGTCCTCAGAGCAGGCAGTACCAGCCACAGATGAATGCACTTAGGCCAATTTCTACCTCGATTTACCTCTCAGCTCCTTCTTTTTGTCCTTGTCCTGTCTGGCTTCAGAAAGTTGAGGGAACCTCCTGCTTTAGAAGTCTTGGGCATTGGGACCATGACTTGAAATGACTTGGCCCAACTGGAGCCCTTCTACAGTGTCTTCTACTAGATACTTTCAGGGTGTCTTCTATCCAAGACACCCCGGAACCCCTTCTAAGCCTTCTAGAAGAAGCTTCTGGCCCCATTTCTGACACCTCTGTGCCAGCCCTTCTCTGCCTTGTTCCAACATACTGGTCTATAAACTAAGCCTTGTTCCAAGTGGTATTCAGAGAGCTACCCAGGAAAGCCTTGGAACACATCTTTGAGGAGACAAATCCTGGTCTCTGGAATTGGGAGACAGAAACTAGTTTCAAGATGTGAGAGATAAAACAACACATCTGCTGAGTCTTTGTGGGACAAGAGTTGGTCAATGTCAAGTTTGTGAAAGTGCTTTTAAAACTAAAGGGCAGTATGTGAGCTGATTGTGTGTATGGCTATGATATGCATCTCAGGCTGGCCTTGAACTCAGTATGTAGCCCTGCTTGGCCTCAAACTCAAGTCAGTCCTCTTGCATTAGCCTTTTGAGTGCTTGGATCATGGGTGTGTGTCACCACTCTGGTTTTTGTAATTTTTTGAATGCATCCAGCTAGCTAGTCCTCAAGAGTAGGTTGGCCTCATCTGTTCAGCCACGGGTGAGACAAGGGGTTGTCTATGAGTCCCCTCAGTGGGACAGTGGAGTGTGTGTACAGGTAATGAGTTTGATCAATGTTAAGTCATAAGTTAAGTCATAAGTCACCCTTACCACTTAGTCACTTTGCACATGTGAGTGTCCATCTCCCTCATTTTGATAACAGGAATAATAAGATATGCTTACAGACTGTATGCTGTGTCCCCCTCAGAATCATATGCTGAAATCCCCAGTGGAGATGTATTAGGAGGTACAGCCCTCAGAAGGTGATTGGGATACAAGGGCACTAGAAGACTCATGCTGGTTCTTGATTTCTGCTGGCCAGCCCACCCAGTCCACAGTAACTAGTCACTGCACTCTGGGCTGGTACTGCCTCGCTGGGGCAGTCAAAGATCTAAGTAGGAGTGATACTAAGAGATGCTGTAAGCATCTAGGTACACTAGAGATGCTGTAAGCATCTAGGTACACTAGATTGCAGGTGATGAGTCTAGCCATAGTCTCAATCAGACACCACCCACTGCCCACTCCCCAGGGTTTCCTGAGTCTTCTCACTCACAGTAGACGTCCACTGTGCGGCTGAGGTTGGTGCTGCCCAAGGCATTGGTCACTTCACAGGACACAGGCTCTGAGAAGTATGTGTAGTCCACGGTGGTCCTATAAAGCTCCCCAGATGCCTCCTTGATGATGTGACCCCGTTTGGCCCACCTGCAACGGAGGTGAGAGGTCTATGGGCGGCACCCTTTAGGAAGCTAGGCATACCCATTCTTCAAGGAAATGAGAAGGGGATGATCTTGTACCCACAACGTGGCCATGCAGCTGATCAGATTTGAGCCATGGTCACCACACAGTCAGAGGTGCTTGACAAGTAGGTCACTATGGAAGTGACAAAGTTACCTGGCTAAACCCTCTACTCCATGGTATCCAGGTTATTTGCTAATCCAACTGTCAGTCACCAGACAGCCTGGCCATACTGCTTTGAGCTCTATTGTAAGCCCTGTCCTGGACCAAGTAGGGAAATGAGGGAGGCCGAGTGCATGATATCAGAGGTGAGGATTAATGACGTATACCCTATACACACGTGTACATTACACACATGAGTGTGTGCATCTCCCTACACACAGAAGCTTGGTTTCCAGACAAGAACATGTAGGGTAGGGTTATTGAAGCCCTACATTACGCTCTCCCTAACCTCTGACCTCTCTTCTGCCCCTATTCAGATAGATGCCTCACTGTGCCCCGCTCCCTCATCATTTTGTAAATCTTCTCAGCCTTCTTCCTAGGGTAGGTACTTGATTTTACTAATAACTCTGCCCTCCCATCCTGGCTTTGTTTCTTTGAGGTCACTGACCCATTAGCCCTGGTTGGGTGGGGACCAGTGGGTAGAAAATTTCTCTTATGAGCTGATCAGTATCATATTGTAAGGAAGAGCCTAAAAAACCTTGAGCTTCAGGCTTGTTCTTAGTCCTGGGGTAGTGATCACTGTGTTAGAGCAGCCACCAGGTGACCAACATGTGCACAAACGTGCATGTGCAAAAGCACACGTAAGATATGCATATATGATCATGAGGCTTTTCATGTGTGGTCTGTAAGTATGAGTATATATGTGTCTATGCCTATATGTATATATGTGTACATGAGGGTTTGCTTATGTGCAAGTGAGTAGGTGCAAGGACATATGTGTATATTTGTACCAGAGGGGGCTTGTATGTGTGAAAGTTTGAATATGTGCATGTAAACACGTGTGCATGTGTATGCATCTGTAAGTATGAGATTTCGCATATATGTGTACACATGAAGGTTTGCTTGGGTCCACTAGTAAGTATGTGCTTGTGTGCTGTGTACATGGGGGAATTTCATGATTATAAATGTAGGTATGTACTTATGTGTTCATCTAAGGGATTTACATGTGTGTATGTGTATCTGTACAAGATGCAGGTGAGTAAATGTCTAAGTATGAACATTTACACTTGTGTATATATGTGCATGTGTGGGTATGATTGTGTGCAAGTGTGAGTGCAGGTGTGTATGTGTATGTCCATGTGTTTGCGTATGTGTGCAGGTGTGCATGTATGTGTGTCTATGTGTGCCTATGAGGGTTTGCCTGTGTGAGTATGAATGTATATGCATGTGTACTTGTGTACATGCAGATTATAGAATCCTAAAGGGAAAGTATTTACAGCTCCTTGTCTTAAACTTACGGTATACAACATTCACTCCTTGAAAACACAAAACTTCTAACCAGGCTCCTAGGACTCTGCAGCCTGTCCTGGGGTGTTTCCAGAGGCCTCTGGCCCCACTGCTGTTCCATGGACTTGCCATTCCCAATGACCTGACCGCTGCTTCTCCCCTTCCCTTCCTTCCTGTGCTCCTGGCCCTTTCTTGGTGACACTGATTCTGTCCCCTCCTTCTCTTCACCAGCTCTTGGCTCAGTGTGTCCTTTCTAGCCCCTAGAGAGATGGCCACTTCTCTACATCCCAAGGAACACCTAGACTGGCGCCATGTGGTTGTTATCTCAAATTAATATCGAGTCACTATTAAGAACACAATTAATAATAACAATTATAGTTTAACAACAGAGCAAACCATAGCTCCCTGAGAGCTTAAGGAGCTTCCCAGCAAACCATTATGAGTTATTCATGAGTCGTTTCAATTCCTAACTTTAATTTAATGACCAGACTTAATAGTCAGGCACGGCCCCTGCCTGAGGTGGATTAATTCTGTTGCAGACACACAGCTGGGGATCAGTGTCCAGCCTCTATCCCTTCCACCCTGTTGAAGGGAGGGCTTATAAGTGGTGGGGGGACTGGTGAGGAGCTGAGAGCAGGTGGGGAGGGCCAGGTAAGTTTTCCTTGCACATAGCACATAGCTGGGGCTAGGCCCCTGGGCCTGCCCAGGGGCACTGGTTCAGACAGGCAGGCTGTTTTTCTCTGGGGGATCCTGGAGAAGATGGAACCTTCTTCCCTCTCTTTCTGGGGCCCTCACTGGGGAGCTTAGGGAGAGCACTGCTCCCCAGGATCTGATTGTTGGGACTCCTTGGGCCCTGCAGGCCTGTGACTCAGTACTCCAAGGTCTGTGGTTGCATCTTCAAGGCCAGGTGGACATTTCTTTTCATCCAAAGGAATCAGAGAGGAGAAGAATTAGGATGTGGCTGGCCATGGGAAGTTTTCTGTCTTGGGAGAAGTCTGAGCCAGCTTGCTGTGAGCCTCCAAAGGAGGGAAGGCAGGAAGGGTGCTCTGACTCTCCTGTTTCAGGGTCATAGAAGGAAGAGGGGGGTTATCTGTAGGGCTGAATTTCAAAAGGCTGAACCTAGGTTTTGTTGGTATGGGGTCTCTCCCTAAACACCCTCTGCTCATATCTTGCCATTCAGTCATTTTTCCCCCTCTCTTACTCTCTTCTTTCATCAAACAGCTCTCTGGAGGGCCTTCCAGATGCACTCAGGCTGAATATCTCATTCCAGTATTGGGCCACAGGGTTCCAGAACCAAAGAGCAGCTTCCTTTTTACTTTACATATTACCTCACAGTTTGTGGCTCAGCCTCCTTGGCCTGGTCCCCACCACTGCATCATCACCATTTCTCCCAAGCCCTCCTTGGACTGCTTTAGCTTAAGCCTTTTCAATCAATGTCTAATTTGGTCTGAACAAATGTAAGAGGATTAATTATTTATATCACAGAATCAAGAGGCCCAACATGTCACAGCTGCAGGTTGGTGTGTCAAACAGCCCTGTACACTTTATCTGGGTGATTGTGGTCTTTTATCTGCCAGAGACCTTCAGAGGATAAAGCCCAGAGCACCTCTTGTTGTGCTTAAGCCTAGTCCACTAACCCAGGTCCTGTAGGCAGTGAAGAGGCAGCTTCCATGCCCAGTCAGCCCCATCTCAGGGTAGGGTTAAGAGAGGGTGCACATCTAATTTCAGAGATTACAGCCTCTTGGGTGGACCAGAGAGGAAGCAATCAAGATGAACAAATGAATGAAGCAAAGATCCCTATAATCTTGTCAACATCACTTGGGAAAAAATATCAATGTACTTATGTTATAGATTTGCTTAAGGCATTTCCTCCTGGGTCCTATATGTGGAAAATGAAAGTGAGCTGTTGGCAAGACTTGGTGGAGGGAAGGGGCTAAACAGGATCCCTAAACCTCTTCTCAACTTAATAGCCCAGCCCAGCCCAGCCCAGCCCAGCCCAGCCCAGCTTTCCCACCATTTCCTGGGGGCCAGGCAGGCTCCCAAGGCCTTTTGAGTCCTGGATCGAGCCCAAGCTGGTACTGGTAACCACCAGTTAATCAGAAGGTTCTAAGAATTGGTAGCAAATAAGAACAGTGACCATCTGCAGGTCGCCCAACCATTCTGGTCCCTGTTCTTATACCAGGAGCTCATGTGGGATTCATATGCTTCAGGGTAGGATAGGAGGGAGCCCCACAGGACCCAATGGTCCAGGAAGATTGCATGTTCTCTCTGTGTTCATTTATTAATTTGTTAGCTCGAAGAAACTCAAATTTCAAATCAAAAGAAAAGTTTTAGTAATTCCCACTAGCTGCCATCTTTTCATCACCTAGATTTGCTGGCTGTTCACATTTGATCACATGCATTTCAAAATGTCCTCCTGTGTAGGCTCACACTTTCTCCTTATCCTTGCTCTTTTGTGTCTTTGAGAGGGGTGATCCTAGGAGTCATCCCCAGCAGCTGGGTATGGAACTGAGGTCCGAAGGCAGTTGGAGGTCTTTGGGTCTTTGAGTGGAGGCTGCTGACTATCTGGGGCATGCTGCCATGCTTGCTCAACAGATCACTAGGCCCTCAGCTAACAGGGAGTCTGGCAGTGACATGGAAATGGAGAGTTGAGTGTTCCAGTCTCTAGGGCCCCATAGGCATTTGGGAGATGCTGTGATGGCCAGTGGAAGGCTGTCTGCATGTCTGCCTGTCTGGTGGGGGATGGTTATGGACAATAAGGGAACTGGCATTTGAAGTGTCTCCTGGGTACAGTATACCTGTCTAGGAACCTCAAGCTGAGAGCCAGGGCAGACAGGAGAGAAACACAGAGACGGCAGGTGCAGTTAGAAACCCAGAGACAAGAGCCTTTTTTAAGTTCCTTCTGCAACTTCTGTCACTTCTGGACAGTGCCAGATCCAGGCCAAAATAGCCTCTGGAACTGACTGGATTGCTGGATTCCTGGGAGTGGGAGATTCCTTGCATTTGGGGTGGGTATCAGAGGCTGTCTGATCTTCTCACTTCCAATGCAGCAAGGGTTAACTCAGGAGGGATGGATAGAGAGACTGTGGGCTTCCCTGATTTTTGCCCCCCCCCCCCCGCTGCTCTATTATCCACACTACAGGAAGCCAGAGAAGTTCACTGTGTCCACCCTGAGCCTGCCACGGCTGCTTCAGTGGTCCATTGCTCTTTCTTCCACCTGCTGGGACTGCTCGGCCTCATGCCTCATATCTTCCCTCTCATCCACATCCCTAGTCATTGCCTTCCTTGTCTGGGGCCATTAGCATTCCTGCCTCTTGCAGAAGCTTCAGCTTAATAGCTTGTATCCATAGTGGAGGTGATGTCCTGGGCTATGCCATCAAGCCTGGCTGCTGGGAAGTGAGGATCATGGGAAGTTCTACAAAACATCTAACAGAGTGAGCATCCCACACCTGTACTTGGATACCTCTGAGGTCACTTAGTTTCTGAGATGCTGTGTGGTGATTCACACAGGCAGGAGCATCTCCGAAGGTTTATTTGATCAGTCAGATGCGTGTAAGGAATGCTTAGTTTATGCCATGCGATACACTGCATGCTGAGAGCCGTAAGTGACTAAATTGCAGTTCTTGCCTCTGAGAAATTCGGTCAGAAGGCAGAGACAAGCATGTGAAAAACATGATCCCTTTATCAGTGATGTGGATGAAGACACAGGGCCGGGTGGTGGCTCTGCAGGATTCCAGGTGCCCTTTGGGCGCTGGCCGGCTATACAGTGCTAAGTACACCGACTTACTCATTCTGCTAGTGGTTTCAACATTTGTCTGAGCCTTGCTCTGTTGCTTCAGAAATATGGAATAAACAAGCCATTGAAACAGGAGGGCCATGTGAGCTTGAAAGGAAGAGACTAGCAGGTGGGGCTGGCATGGGAGGAGGGAGAAGTCCATTTGGATACCTGCTGTGAGGGGCCTCCTGTGGCCATGTGTGACATCCCACGTGACAGGCAAGCTGTCTTCACAGCAGTGATGCTCACCTGTACTGGGTGACAGCTGGGTTGGCCTTTGCAGAGCAGTGGAACGTGACAATGTTGTCCTCCAGTACCGGCTGTGGTTCTACCGACAAGTTGACAAGTGGGGGATCTGCAGGGAGAAGAGGTTCAGTACAGACTGGGGAAAGAATAGGGCAGGCCGACATGGAAGGGCAAGGGCAGGGTTCCTACCACCCAGGGACCACTGTGGTGGATCCCCGGAGAGTGAGGAGGCCTCTGCAGTAGGCTATTTGCTCCCTGGGAGTGGGCTGCTTCAGGTAGCCCTGGGTGCTGTGTGCAGGTCCCTCTGTGACTCAAGGTCTGAATGGCAATGAACATCTGTCTCCGAGGCCCCAGATGTGTGCAGCCTAGCTTCAACCTCCATTCCACTTGTGGGGAGTGGTGGGAAGGAGCCCTCAGCCCACAGTACAAGCTTCCTGTCTGCGAAATGTCTGTTTATTATCTCCATGTAAAGGTTGTGGGGCCTCTGGTAACTTGAAAGTGGCATTTACACCCTTTCATCAGTGCAATCATCTCTGCTGAGTCCCAAATGGTGTCACCAGGCCCCTAGCATCCTGAGCTGGGGCCTCTGACATGATAAAAAGCCCACTCTGAAGTGCTAAATGATCTGGAGTGGAGGAGACAGAAACTGGGAAATGGGGTGCCTACAGAGAGACCACTTGGAAGGGTTTGGGGTGGGTGTGGCAAAGCATACAACACAGAGGACAGAAGTGAAGACCACATGGAGAGACAGAGGCACGCAGACAGGAGGAAGGCAGAGAGAGATAGGCAGAGACACAGAAAGGCACACCAACATGCCCACTGAGGATTGTAGAAGGTTAAGAAGAGGAGAAACTGCCAGGCATTGGTGGTACACGCCTTTAATCCCAGCACTCGGCAGGCAGAGGCAGGCGATTCTCTGTGAGGGGGGGGGGCGCGGGAAGGGCCCCAAAAAAACGAAAAAAAACCCTTCCCAAAAAAAAAAAAAAAAAAAAAAAAAAAAAAAAAAAAAAAGAGGAGAAACCTAGAGGTGGGGGGTGGGAGAGGAATAAAGAATGAGATGGAGCTGTGCACAGACACATACCTAGACAAAGATGCTAAATGGACAGCAGGAAAGCCAGGAGGTCTAGCACATAAAAAATGATAGGACATTGGAGAGAAAGAACACAGAAAACAATGACAATGAGGACCACAGGAAAAAGGAGGGAAGGAGGGAGAGGGAGAGATTGACAGAGAGACAGAG